CTCGCCATTGATTGATTTTTGCTTTGACCTTACTTTGAGCAGGAATGCTTGGACTTGGTGAGGGTGTGTCAAAGTGTCTGTCTGATATCAATTAGGTTTGCTGGGCAGGTCCCATGCAGGTATTTTACAGCAAGATTAGACAGGAAGCTGGTGTATGTCTTCAGATAAAAAAGAGTTCAAAATAAAAATTTAATTGTATCTTGGAAAATCAATGGGATGGTTCTTGGACACTTAACTTTGTGGACTGAGAAATATATCAATTACACCAACCTAGAAGTTACACACATTGATGAAATTGCCCAGTGGACTAAAATGCATATTAAAATGTTTAAAATAAAAGTTAAAAAAATAACTGCTAGAGATGTTACTGGGCAAATAGGCTGAAGGACCATTTATTTTTAATTTCATTTCTGATGTGCAAAAAACAATGTTTTATGATTTTTCAAATCAGTTAATCATAATGATCATTTTATCAAGGAAGTGGTAATTTTAATGTATGCTAATTTTGCATTTTTCTTGCAAGATGGATTAAATCAACTGGCCAAAAGTTTTTTAAAGCCTTTTCTGGGATCTCACTTTTATGCACTCGGTTTTCAGGAGAAAAAAATACTGGCTCATACCCAGCCATTTCCAAGAACAGTGAATAAATACATGACTAGTAGATTAAAATGAAATGCTACTGTATTTGGCTCTTTAAGCAACTGTCAGGGTGTGCGGTCAAAAAAAATACCTAATGCTTCACAACAAAATTATTTTGTGTTGCTCTTCTTTATTCTGAAAGATTCTGTGAGGCTTGTGTTTGTAAGTACTTCAGCCAAAATATGAATTATCCCTTCAACATTACCTCCAAGGTCAGGGGAAGATTTGGGAGACTCCAGTGTGCAGGACTACTTAGGGTCACAGTGTGACAGAGAAGCATTCAAGGCAACATTTGCCTTGTTTACATTTTTACCTAGTGTCATGGAAATATTTCATTAATATCCCTAGTGTATTTGTGAAAGTTAAATCACATGCCACTGACTGTGAACTCATATGCCTCTTATTGCTCCTCGTAAAAATTATTTATGGGTGAAAATAAAAATGCTCTAACAGTTGAATTTAAAAACAAAAGCTTGCTTTCTGGATGGTACAAGCTGATAATGTGTGCAGAAATGGGAACTAATCTCTTCCTGTATATTAAAATTTATAATTTTATAATATTGAAAATTGTTGCTTATGTAGAAATAAAATCACTAGTTAAAAATTGTCATGGATGGCATCCAAGCAAAACTAAATGACACTGTATACATGACAACACTAAAATAGGACTATGTGGGGCTCAAACACTGAACCACAAAGTGACACATTCTGTATCAGCAACTGTGAAGAGGGAGTGGCAGGAAGGCAGACATTTCTGAGGGGCTTGGTAACTAGAGAACTTGCAAATTTCCAGTAGATACTCACCTTTAAAGTGAAGGGTCATAAATGCTTATGAAAATCTCAGCAGACCAGTTTGATCAAAGCAGCCCAAACTGTGAGGAGCTTTGCAGTCTACATTTCCCAAAACAACTATTTACACTAAGAACAAACTCCTAGGAGTAAAATTAAAATAGTAAAGGACAGAAACATTAAAGGCAATTGAAAGAGAAAGTATAGATAAAAACATGTAAGGGAAGAAAACAAGGCACATTTCAGAAATTATAAAGATACTCTGAAAGTATAGTTTATGATTCAACAGAAGAAACATTATAGCCATGAAACTAAGGAAAACTATCTTCTCCCCAATCCTGATTCTTCCCTGCAATAGTATGGGTCCATGGTTTATCAGCTCAGATAATAATGATATTTTATACCACACAATTCTTTATTGAGGGAGGCTGATAAATTATATTTATATGCTATATATACTATAAAAACAAAACTAAAAAAAGAAACCTCAATAAAAAAAATAGAAATCTTGAGAGAAAGAGAAGCTACTGACACAACTGGCTTGAAAATACCTTTGTTTAGATCCAAAGGAAAAGGAGATGGACAGTGACTGTAATGGGGTATGTGGGGGGGACTTGGTGAAGGGGAGAGTCTAGCAAACATAATGTTCCTCATGTAATTGTAGATTAATGATACCAAAATAAAAAAAATAAAAAAAAAAGAAAAGGATAGTGACCTTTGTTAAATTTGGTTTCTCTCATCATCCAAAAGTTAAGTCAGTCTTTACTCAGAGAGCAGTTTTCCTGCATTGTCATCATCAAAACATAATTCTAAGAATTGTTGATTTGAGCCTTGAGTTTGCAAATGTTTTCTATAGGATGTTTACTATAGAAATTGGTGTGTGTTCACTTAAAGTTGTAAATTGTGGTTTTTAGAGGAGGTTGATTTACTTTATCATCCTTGTGATGAACCCACTGACTGTGAACTCATACGCCTCTTATTGCTCCTTGTAAAAATTATTTATGGGTAAAAATAAAAATGCTTTAACAATTGAATTTAAAAACGAAAGCTTGCTTTCTGGATGGTACAAGCTGATAATGTGTGCAGAAATGGGAACTAATCTCTTCCTGTATTTTAAAAAATATTTGCTATACAGGGATGAGTTTTCATCTTGTAATGACCCTACAAGTCTGGGTCTACATTTTCTGCTCCCTTCACACTCATCAGAGGACCCTGACCTTGCAAAGGCCTCTATCCTATGCTAATACTTTTTCACCAACAGAAAAATACAGTGGATTAGTTCTCATTTCCAAATGTCAAAAAGTAATAAATGAATGCATGTGGATTTTTCACAGAGACCATTACATGGACTACTTAGTAAATAGTGTAAAGAATTGAAATAAAATTTGAAAAATAAAAATTAGGGAAACTTGAAATGGAATGACACATTAATTATATGTTAATCACAGAATATTGCTCTAATAATCTCTAAGGATCACAGCATGATGAACACACATATTTTTTAGAGGGAGAAAATAAAGATTGAATGTCAATTTTAAATTTTCATCTGCAAGTAATAATTTATTCAAGAAATGATACCAAGAGAATGAAAGAAGGGTGTGTGTCCAGGAGTGTTCACATGTGAGAGTATGTGCATATATGTGTGTTGTATATGTGTGTGTATATGATCTTTCTGTGTATGGTTGCATATGTATTTGTGTGTAATGCATGTGCCTGAAAGTGCATGTGTTAGCAGGGTAGAGCAGACATTAAAAGGAGAGGAAGGTGGGATCCTACAATAATCCAGATAGTGGGTGAGCATTTATTATCAGCCTCTTTTAATAAATGCATTTTGTAGGTGGTAAAAACAGCAACATTAGCAAGCATGAATAATCTACTTTTCTAAAAATAGAATTGTGGAGTTCTCCTTGGCAGGTAAAGATTTTCTTTACCTGAAATCAATCTTTTCTTATTTTAGACCAAGTCAAAATACATAGGCAGGTTCATGTTTCACTGTGTGACTTTTGAAGCACATGGAACATACAAGTCATCTTGAAAATGGATCACAAAGGCCAGATAGAGCTCCAGAGGGAGGTTTGGAGTTTAGAGAAGGGTTGCATTCTCCACTGGTCTCATAAATCATAAATGCTGGCACAGCAAGGGAACTTGGTGCTAGGAGTTCATGTAATAAACATGGAGTGGTGCAACAGTTACATTATGTGAAGCAGTTTCATGTTTCCCATCTTAATTTTAAAGCCACTTTTTTTTGTCTGTTGGGAGGAGAGATTTTCAGCTTCTGTCTCCCAACTATTTCTGGTCCAGTCCATTGCCAACAATTTTCTGCTTGGCTCTCACCTGGGCATTTTTCTTCTGGGTCTTTTATTTGGGATTATTTCTAGAGAGAAGATAAGAAAAAAATGTATCTCCATTTAGCATAGGGTCTACGTACACTGGCTTGTAGTAATGAGCTTAGGCCAGAGAGGCAGGCATCATTTCCAGGAACTAGAGTGGCCTAGGAGCAGCATTTATTCCAAGCCTGCTTAATCTCAGTACAGATACCCCTTGTGGGTATTATAGTTATTTTGAAAGAATGCAAAGAATCAAAAAGAAAAAAATGCCTGAGATCAAAACTTCAGAGGGTAAAAGTTCAAGGGAGGATTTATTTTTAATGCTAAAAGGGAAGATGGATTATGAGTAAAACTGAGAACCCTGATTAAAATGCAAAAGCTTAGAAAACCCAGAGGTACTGTTTGGTTGCTGAATGTTTGTTTTTTTCTGAGCCAGAAACCAGTCCAACCTTTCTGCTTTATTCCTAAAAGGTTTTTCTAATTGGTGGCTAGTCTCAGATAAAACTATTTAGTACAGCTTCAATGTGTGCAGAGGAGAGGGTGGGAACATGGGATAAAATAGTCTCTGAGGAGGCTGAGCCTGCCTACGAGCGAATTGTATTTGCAAAGGTGTGTGAGTGTGTGAGTGTGCATGTGTTGTCATGTATGCTTGTTCATAGATACAAGGGGCAAATCCACAGTTGAATAAGACCCTAGGAAAGACCATAAACTAGCACTGTTGACATTTTATTACAAACTAAAGCATACAACTGTTTTGGGCTCTACCATTTTCTTAGGTTTCACCAATTAGCTCTCCTGGTATAACTAACTAGAGGAATTTCCTCACCCCTTACCTAAAAAGTAAATTTACTTATAGAAACTAAAAGTTGTGAGGACATTCATATCATTTATTACAAATTTGTCTTGGGGACAGCTGAGGTCTAAAACCAGCCACATGGCTTGCTTGTTACCAAGCCACTGTCAAAACATTTTATTTCTAACCTGGTGGTTGTTATTGTTTTCATTGTTATGGAGATCATTTTTCCTAATAAGATGAAAATTACATATGGCCAGCTATGGACCTTTGGTAATCAAGTTCATTTATTTGTCCATCAAATGTATCCTGAGACTTGATATTTATGCCTGCACCATCTTGGGTTCTGGTGTCACATTGGTGAGGGAACAGATATGGTCTCTGCTCTTCTGAGCTAAAGTGAGTCTTAAAGCTGTGTGAATTGGTTCTAAAGTTATGCTCTTCCTCTGAAGAACCTTGCAGATTAGTTGTGGCCTCTGCATCCTCCCTTTGGAACTGCTAGGGACACGGGGAGCAGCCTGGAAGAATGCCTCAGCCTCTGCTGAAGGGGACAGAGCGTGGTCACGAACAAGGTGAGGAGTGGGATGTGATGCTTCTCTTCAGATAGATCTGCTCCCCTGGGGAAGGGACCAGTAGTGACACAGGGCAAAATCAAAATGCACATCTGCAGGACCACAGAGGATGTTGACGGAAGGGCATAACTCAGTAGTTATTTCAGCAACAGCAAAGCTTGGTCTACTCATCACCTTTTCTGCAAACCATGGTGGCGAAAGAACGTGAGGATGGGCTCTGATCCTCTTGTTTCTACTATCTGTTTTTTGAGAAAGAAAGAGAGTCTAGACTATGTTCTAACTGCAAATAAGAAAGAAAGAGTATTTTAAAAAAATAGCTGCTGTGGCTTGGAAGCATCTTCAAGTATGGGTCAATCAACTTGACCCTGAATGTGAGTTTATCTGTGCTGCATTAACAACAACACGCACCTAAATCTCTGATCATCAATGAGCATAACCAGCACAGGCTTGTAGCTGTTTGGAATTCTCCCATATCTTCAAGATGAAGAGAGAACATAAGTACAATAATGATAACAGTTTATTAGGTTATCTTGCCACTGTTCTCTTAGAAAGTAGTGCTTCCTCTTTCTAGAATATGTGAAAGTTATATTTGGAACCATTTTTATTTTGAAACTGTTTTAAATTAAACTCAGTTTTGGTTGCATTGGGTTCGGATGGAAATAGTATTATCATGGGAGCCAAGAATAATTCAATAAAAGCACACCATTGAATAAATGAAAATTCATGATCCATAATGATACTCAAAAAAAGGAAAAAGCAAGCAACCTAAATGTCCATCAGTAGGTGAATGGGTAAAGAAGATGTGATACATATACACAATGGAATATTACTCAGCCATAAGAAAAAAACAGATCCTACCATTTGTAACAACATGGATGGAGCTAGAGGGTATTATGCTCAGTGAAATAAGCCAGGTGGAGAAAGACAAGTATCAGATGATTTCACTCATATGTGGAGTATAAGAACAAAGGAAAACTGAAGGAACAAAACAGCAGCAGAATCACAGAACTCAAGAATGGACTAATAGTTACCAAAGGGAAAGGGACTGGGGAGGATGGGTGGGAAGGAAGGGATAAGGGTGGGGAAAAAGAAATGGGGCATTATGATTAGCATGTATAGTGGGGGGGGGCACAGGGAGGGCTGTGCAACACAGAGAAGACAAGTAGTGATTTTACAGCATCTTATATGCTGGTGGATGTGACTGTGAAGGGGTATGTGGGGGGGACTTGGTGAAGGAGGGAGCCTAGTAAACATAATGTTCTTCACGTAATTGTAGATTAATGATACCAAAAAGAAAAAGACAAAGACAAAGAAAAAAAAAAAGGAAAAAGCCAGAAGAAACTCTTCTGAGGTAAGTAATACCAACTCTTTATTTGAAAACTACATATTAAAGGGGAAATACATTTACTGTCTTTCCAGTAAGAACTATACTTCAAAATAACCTAATAGCTCTAGCTTATAAGATGAAACTATTCTACAGAAGACTGCCAGGTAGATGTAGAGGGATGATAGACTTAGAAAATCATGATCTTGCAATTTCAGAATATGAAGATCTAAGCAAGGACTTTTAACTTGTGTTAAAGACATTAGGTGAATGGCTGATAACATCTGGATATTCATGTGGAACCAAAGTAACACCACAGTTACATGATTCTGGTCATCACAAGAAAAATGTAACTGTGCAATGGATGGATCAGACTGCCCTCACCCTAATCTAACGGTTTATTTTAGCATTAGAAAGGTGGGACACCAGATAGTACACCATTCTTCTGGTGTCGTGCATGATGTCACAGCATGACCTGGGATGCAGTCTAGCCAAAAATATTTACCTGGGGCCTAATCGCTCTGCAGACATAACTTCTGGGAAATACTGGAGAGGGAGCTCAATGGCACCACAGGCAAGCAAGGGAGGAGCCTCCAAAGGCCCATGGCTGCATAAGAAGACCCGTGAAGAAAGAGACTAGAGGCTAGATTTATTAATTAGAGGGGATGTAGCAACCACATACAATGAGTAGTCCTGAATAGCCTCCTGGTTTGGACACAGAGACTACAAAAGACATGTTGGGGAACATTTGGGAAATTTGAATACATATGGGCTATCAGATCATGTTGAAGAATAATTTTACTAATCTTAGGTGCAATGTGCTATTGTTTTTGTTACATAAGAAAGTGCTAATATTTTTTTTTGAAATGCAATTTTGAGGCATTTAAGGGACAATGACTTGATGTTTCTAGTTTATTTTCACAGATTACACACAGTGGGACATTATGTATGAAACAGACCATGACATCAAGGTCTTCTATGGGACAGCTGATAGCACATGGACTTTTAACCAACCACCCTTGCCAGTGACCAGTGAGTAATGTGTGATTAAATTGCTATCAAATAATGAGTAAAATTTTTGTACATTTTCTAAAGATTGAAATCTTAAAAGTGAGTAAAGTGAGAGAAAGCAGCAGAATATTTAGTTCAAAATAATTAAGAAGGCATTATCATAAGAAGATGAGTAAAAAATAACTTCAAGAGCTGGTAACTAACTTAATCTTAGTATTGCCACCAGAACCTAATTTTCAGTGATCACCATTACTGATTTTTATGACTTTTCCTGCTACTTAAAATCTTTATCTACTAGTAAAAACCAACCAGCCTTAAAGGAATGGTTAGATAAATTATGGTATGGCCATATCTGAAATACTGTGAAGTCATTAACAAGGAAGATTTGTATTTAGTTTAACTTTTGGTTTAATATTTAATAACATGAAAACACATTTATGATATAATACTAAGCACAGGATATACAACTGTATTGGAATATAATTCCAATTTCGTGTAAGTATAAATGATTAAGTCCCCAGATAATTGCACAGGGACAAAGAGGTATCAGTTAATATAGTCTCAGTACCACTGTGACTGTTACAAGAAAATAAAGGGGGAAAAAACCCATAGAGGAGACAGTTAAAAATTGAAGTGCTCAATAGGCATGGATTGCCTTGTCTAACAAACAAGAAAGTAGGTTTCTTGTCACATTGGGCAGATGTGGTAAATTTTATGACGTGATAAAAAGAAACTCCCGATTTTACTCATCTCCCAAACTAAAAGTTGAAGAGTTGAAGCCCTTTTGCCCTTCACAGAATGACTAATCTTAAGAAAGCCTCCTCACCGCGAAGTGCAGCACCCGATGATGGACCAGCAAAGGCAATTCTACTCTGACAAACACGAAATAAACTTGGATGTAACATGATGGCAGAGCTGCTTACACCTTAGGGTCACCCACTAAATCTTCACTGAACCGTTCTCTTGCTCCCTGGAAGGGTGGCCAAGCCTATGGTACACCAGGACACCGAGGTCTACGGGAAGATACTCAAGCCTTTCTCATGGGCAGCCTTTCTTCAGTTAGTAAAAGAAAGAGGAACTTCACCAACTGTCACATGAGTTTAAAATTTTGAAGAGACCTGCCTCTTTTGTGGCACAGGTAACTAATATACTAACCACATTAAAAAAAAGTACTCCCCCCTGTATGGCCCCAGAAGATGACTGGTTAGCCAGAGACGGGTAAGATTCCTCAAGGGAGGAACAACCTAAGACAGGCACAGTCGCAGGGGGGCCATCAGGTGAGAAATTGGGGATCAACAGAGGTGAGGCTTAGAACCTCACCCCCCCTGTTTTGAGAGAAATCTTCTGCATCCGTGGATGTTTTAATGCCCTTGTCTAGCTTGGATTAACACATAGTCTAC